GCAATTGTTCGATTAAATTCTAGATTCTTGCCAAGTGACAAGAGTGTTGGTAGGATCAAGGCGACTCTGATATCTGGAGGAGATGACCTTGTTTTAAATTCAAATGGCAATAATGTTGAGAAACAACCTGAAGCAATTGGACACGGAACACTGGCAACTAACACAGAGCTAACAAGGATTGGTTTTCCTGTTGATAATGATGATAATGATGAATTTGATTTGGACAGCCCCACAGAAGGTTTTGCTTCTATCCCTGAGGCTATTGAGGATATCCGCCAGGGAAAGGTTGTTAATATCTCCCTCTCCCTCTCCCCTCTTCCCTTTGAGAAGAATGGCTTTTTTTTTTTTTTTCCTTCTTTTTTCTTCCTTTGGTTAGATATGGTGGAAATACACATTGTTGAAGTCGCTATTGTATCGCTGTTGACTTAACTTTATTTACTGACTTCAATTGTTGACACAGATGGTACTGGTTGTAGATGATGAAGACAGGGAAAATGAAGGAGACTTGATAATGGCTGCACAGTTGGCTACACCTGAAGCTATGGCTTTTATTGTCAAGCATGGAACTGGGATAGTTTGCGTAAGCATGAAAGAGGAAGATCTGGAGAGATTGGAACTTCCTTTGATGGTAGACAGTAAGGATAATGATGAGAAACTTCGTACTGCATTTACTGTGACAGTGGTATGAACAATTACTAAATGCGCATTTACATCTGGACCCAATGCTTGTCCCTCATTAGTGTCTTCTGTTGCCATCATCAGCTAGAAATAGCAGATAACCAAAAGTTAGGAAATAAATTGTTTCATCTAACATCAGCTTGTTGTACCTGATTTTCTTACTTCCTAGTGTTTAAATGACAACAATCATAATTGCCATTTTTCAAAATGACAATCAATTTGGAGGATTCAGTTTTCATAATCATCATTATATTGTTGGAAATCGCATTTCATGTAGTTGTGGCATGTATTAACATAAATTGATGAACTTTAATAATTTACGTTGCATTTGTAGGATGCAAAACGAGGTACCACCACAGGGGTATCAGCAGCTGATAGGGCAACAACAGTCTTGGCTCTTGCATCTAGAGATTCAAAACCATCTGATTTTAATCGCCCAGGCCATATATTTCCATTAAAATACCGGGAAGGTGGTGTCTTGAAGAGAGCTGGACATACAGAAGCGTCAGTTGATCTTGCCATGCTTGCAGGTTTGGAACCTGTGGCAGTGCTATGTGAAGTTGTAGATGATGATGGTTCCATGGCTAGGCTCCCAAAGCTTCGCCAGTTTGCAGTGCGTGAAAACTTGAAAATAGTTTCTATTGCTGACTTAATAAGGTATCTGTTTTTGTTTCGTTGAAGATGTATCAAGATTGTTGTTGCATGCCTATCTTTGGTGTCGTTATGCTTAAATTTTCCATAGATTGTTGTTGCATGCCTATCTTTGGTGTCGTTATGCTTAGATTTTCCATTTACACAGATAGCAATATTGAAAATGTTGTTTGTTATTCAGCTAAATTCTAGCCGCTTTATTATAATTTGAATATTTTTGGCTTATTTGATTCTAATTTTTAACGATACAATATGTGCCAATGGCATCCTTGGTAAACCATTTTTACATTGTAACATAATAACAGATGAAAATTGTTATCCACCGCTCAGTATATGGGCATCCTTAAATCTTTCTTTTTTATATGACTCTGCATCAGATTCACTAAATGTATAAACAAAGATCTCTCTCAAAGTACAGAATTCACTATCTACTTGATCATATCATGCCTTACCCGCAAAAAGCTCAGAGGCTGGATTTTTATGTTGCTTATTTACTTGTCAAGGAGATTAACACTTAATCTTATGGCAGATATAGAAGGAAGAGAGATAAATTAGTAGTTCTTGCTGGTGCTGCGCAAATACCTACAATGTGGGGGCCATTTACAGCTCACTGTTACAGATCACTATTAGACGGGATGGAACATATTGCAATGGTTAAGGTTTGGAGTGCTTCTGTTTCCATTAAACTATATCTATAGTCATGTACATAATAATTTACTAATATGTACGCATGAGCATTCTGTCATATTAATTATTACATCTAGCTTAAATTTCACCGTTTACTCCTATGGCTTAGCCTTAATTTGGTGCTTGTAATGATTGTTTGAAACCACTTAGATTTTGAATCCATGTTAGTATCCATGAATATTATAAGGAATGGTCTGCGTACAACCAATATTTTTGGTTGATCCATTAAAAATAGAAAAGCAAAATAAAACAACAAATTGAGGCCATTAGCTTTGTTTGTCCTAGTCATATATGGTAAACTAAAATCCAAGACTGAATTCTGCTGAATTAGAATATAGTATGTTTTTGAAGATTGTATTAAAGACGGCTTATTCAATGGTCTACCTACGCTTTCTCTGGCTTACAAATCTGGTGAAGAGTTTTTAAACAGCAAGCCTATCTTGATAAAAAAAAGGTCATCTGTGTCATATGGGAAAGGGAGAATAACGAGATATGATAGTGAATTCTATATATCTCTTTAGTCAATTCTGTTTTGTATGTGGGCTCATAACTCTTTTTAAACAGGGTGACATTGGGGATGGAAAGGATGTTCTCGTGAGGGTGCACTCTGAGTGTCTCACTGGAGATATATTTGGATCTGCCAGATGCGATTGTGGAAATCAGCTTGGGCTTGCGATGCAGCAGATTGAGGCTGCTGGTAGGGGTGTCCTGATATATCTCCGAGGACACGAAGGAAGAGGTATTGGGCTTGGCCACAAGCTTCGTGCATATAACTTACAGGATGACGGGCGGGATACTGTAGAAGCCAACGAGGAGTTGGGGTTGCCTGTTGACTCGAGGGAATATGGCATTGGTGCACAGGTGATTAGCGTGAAGTGTACTTTATGAATAGATTATCTGACATCACAAACTACTTGCTTGCTAATCCATGTCGATTTACAATAAAAATTTCAGTTGAGGTAGAGCTGGAATAAATGTTTAGTAGATCAAGTTAATCAAAAGTAGAGATAATTAACTATGTGAAAGAGATCATTGAAGAGAGGTACCCACTAGAGTTGTTACTCTGCCAACCAGAGGACCTATTGTTGGGTCTAAAATCCAGGTCAAAGAGTTTAATTTCAAGTTATCTTCTAAGGCCTATCAAATTTTAGGCAAAATTGAGCTTTCGTCTGCCGAGGCTTGGCTCAAGTTGGCACTCCGAAGGATTAAATGTGTAATATGCTGAAATATGTTCTTCATAGCTAATTTGATTTGCCTGTCTTTTGTAGACAAGATTCGTGTGAGAATTTCTTAGTAGTAACATTTCGTGCATGCTCAACCCCGTGACTAGAGAATTTATTTTAACGTTGTTTTATTTGAAAATCAACTTGCAGATGTTGAGGGACTTGGGTGTTCGATCGATGAAGCTGATGACAAACAATCCAGCAAAATATGTTGGGCTCAAAGGTTATGGTTTGACAGTTTCTGGTAGGATCCCATTAGTAACCCTCATCACAAAGGAAAACCGGAGGTATTTGGAGACAAAACGTGCCAAAATGGGCCACATTTATGGTTTGGAATTCAGCAACAAGTTGAGCAGTTATGCCACTGGCAATGGTAAAGCCAATGCTGATGATTCTAACAACGCTGTTCCTGGCTCATGATCTTCCTGCTTTTGAATTTTCCATGAGATAGAAAGCAGGAGTGGAAGGTTCATGCATAATTTTAGAAAGCTTAGGTATAATGTTTCAGATGTTTACCGTCAAGTTCTTCTGTGAGAACATGACGGGTGGAGAATTTCATGTGATTTTAAGATTTAAGCAAATGCTGGGAAATTTTCAGTTCGAAATAGTGAATTCAACAGCTGAGAGAGAAACATGATTCTACTAAAGGCTCGATTTTTTGAAGTTATTTTTTCTTGGTCCTTCCTCAACCAAGCTGAACATGTGTTTGTATGTGAGCTTATTGAAATCTTTGTATATGTTGCGTCTTGGACTCCTGTTCAGGTTTCTTGCTTCTATTAGTATGCTTGGTGGTATATATGTACCAGAAATGGAATCGTGATTTTCCAGATGATTGGCATGATCTTGGGGAATTATGATCCTCGAAGCTACCTAAGGGGAACCACTAAGCATCCATATGAGAAAGAGGAAAGAAAGAACTAATATATATTGCATATGCTTCTGAAAAAAGATTTTTTTTTTTTTATCAAACAGGAAAATTTTAGATATGTATTACATTCTGTCTTATAGGTAATGACTTTAAATAGTGGCAAATGACTTATTTTTTTTAGCCAAATATCAAGTGATCTATAATAAGGGAACAGTTGTCTCATCTGGAAGATGCTTTGTAATAAGGACTGGACGGTATATTTTTTGAACTTTTTCACCTCTCAATATCCTTATTGATATTGAATAATTAAAAAAGAAAACCCTAAAACTCATCAGTTGCTTAGTTCAGAAGGAAAAAAAAAGATTTGGACAAAAATTATTCAAAGATGTTTTATAAAATACCAGAAAAGAGTTTTATTTGGTTACCGTTCAACGGCTCATTGGTTCAGAAGCAATACCCGGTAGACAAACAAATATTACTTAGTATATTTAATATATATCCTATAAAATACCGAAAAGGGTATTTTGTCAGCATTTAACGGCTAGCAAGCAATGAAGCAACGTTCACTTGTCCTTCTTCCTCAACTTCTTGGGCGGGTAGCCTTAGTTTCTAAGACACATGTACGGCTCCGATTAATCTAAAGTTATAATTTAATATTGTGTAATTAAAATTAAAAATATCTAAATTTTAACGTGTTTAATTGAAATGAATAAAAAAAAATCAGTTTATCAAACATATATATTTTTTTTAATAAAAAAATTTCAATTTTTTAATTTTAATTTTACTTTTAAGAATTTAAATTCAGGAAACTGACAACTTTACTGTTGCGCTTGTTCTCGAGATCCGCGTGACAATCATTTCACCTTCTCAACGGCTCTCTCCACCTTCACCCTCCTATAAATACTCTTTTTCATGCTCTCTCCTTCACTGCAATCTCACTCATCTCTGCAACTCATCACTCTTGGATTGCAGTCTCACTCTCACGGACTACGCATTCTCTCCCTCCCTCTCTCTCTGGAATTTTAATTTCTCTGTCTAAAATGGCTCGCTTCTCCTCTGTGTTGGTGTTGATGCTGGTGGTTTCACTGTTGGTGAGTCTCACATCGGCTCGATCTCCGGTTTCTTCTCCCAAGATCTTGTCTCCGACTGGATCGCCCGGGCTGGCTGCTCCACCTAAGGCATCATCTCTGTCATCTCCTTCGGAGTCGCCTGTCGAAGCTCCGGCAATGTCTCCTTCTTCAATCTCTGCTCCGCCATCAGAAGCACCAGCACCGGCGGTAAGCAGCGCCGGTCTGAATAGGTTTAGCATGGCTGGATCTGTTGCTGTAGCGGTCATGGCTGTGGCTTTGGTGATGTAGAGAGTATTACAGTAGGGTTCAGTTCATGGTCTCCACTGTAGTGTTGCTTTCTTTTTAAGATTGAGACACTTCATTCATTTGATTATTTCTGTGTATGTGTTCTTTATTATGAAATTATGAATGATATTCTTTATTTATAAAATGTTGTTCTCCTTTAATTTGGAATTACCAAGTTCACAATATTCAAAACTGTTTACGAAAAGTGAACTCGCGCTACATTACAGAGTGTTTATAATGCAATTTATGAAGCATTTCCGAAAGAGGAACCTTCAAACTGGGTATTACATATTTGTAAATAGCTTGCAGCGAAACAAAAGCAGGGAAGAATTCATGAACAACCCATTTAGAATCTTTAAACTAAGGCACGACTGTTATCACTTATCAGATTAATAATGCATAATCTCCGACTAAACGAAACAGAAACAGGGGGAATCTGACAGAACCCAAATCTTTTTGCCCCCAAGATTTTTCATAGGTAGAAGCTGAACTGATAAGCAATATCAAGGGGAAAAAGAAGAAACAAGAGTTCAAAAGGAATTTACAGAAAAGAAACGATCTGCAGAACAAACATCGTATTTTTTTTTTAAGCTACCACATGATGGTTCTAAAATCTAAAAGGAGGAAACAGGGGAAGATGGACTTTTCATGTGCTGGGTTTTATTCTGGATAGCCAGTCAAGGAAAGGCCAGGTTGGATCGGGCCAAGATACAAGACCCCGGTAATATGGTTCAGTGCCCAGAAAAATATTTCAAAAAACAAATTAATGAATTAATGAATTCAAATCACTTAGCATTTTACTCCTCCGGTCCTAATTATAAGACCCAATTGATTTATTTGAGGATATTAAGGAAGTAAGTTAAGTTGGTTATTTATAATAAATAAGTGTTGTTATTCCTAAAATATCCTTGCTAATTAAGTATATTGGCTAAAACTATCATTATTAGAAGGATTATCTTGGAAAAAAATGCATAAATATAAGAGAGAAAATGGATTGGGTCTTATAATTAGGACCAAATAAAAAGTCAAATTGGGTCTTATAATAAGGACCGGAAGAGTATTATTTATCATCTCCCGCCGCATTATCTTCTCATGATAAGGGTTTGAAAGAAATATCTGAATTTCATAAAACCAGCTTATCACTTCCTCACACATTCCTATTGTTAGCTTCAATAAAAAAAAGAAAAAGGACAAATAAGAACAAGCCAGGACGTGGGTCCATGCACGCATTGGAAGTCACAATTAAAAACCCATTTTGAAGATGAAAATCGACAACGGCACGGACAGATACATTGCACGCACTGGAAGTCACAATTAAAAACCCATTTTGAAGATGAAAATCGACAACGGCACGGACAGATACATATGTATGTGGCCAGGACCAGCTCATACATATCCGTTTACAAATCACGGACTTCTTCTCCACCACTTGCCATATATGTGTCCCTCAGTTATAAACATCCTCACTGGCAAGTTCAAATCAAATCCTACTATAACCTCTGAGTCGCCATGGAATCTTTGACGACAGCCATGTCGACACAGAAACTTCATCAGCTTCACTTTGTTTTGATACCTTTAATGGCCCCAGGTCATCTTCTTCCCATGGTAGACTTGGCTAGACTTTTGGCTCGGCGAAATGTGAAGGTCACCATAATGACCACACCATTAAATGCTGCTCGAGTTCGGGCAAATATTGATAGGGAGATCCAGTCTGGTTCATCAATCACTGTTCAACATTTTCGATTCCCAAATGCTGAGGCTGGTTTACCAGAGGGGTGTGAGAGCATAGACACTTTACCTTCCATGGATCTTCTGCTCAACTTTGCGAAAGCTATGTGTTTGTTGCAGGAACCAGTTGAAGAAGTCTTTGAAAAGCTTATTAGTCCCTCCCCAACCTGCGTAATACATGACAAATACCTTCCATTTGTAGCTGATATTGCTAAAAAGCTCCAAGTTCCAAGAATAACATTCGATGGAACTAGCTGTTTCACTCTGTTATGTGACAACAGTCTGTATGATTCTGAAGTCTATGAGAACTTGTCCGAATCAGAACCATTCGTTGTGCCTGGATTGCCCCATAGAATAGTGTTTAAGAAATCTCAACTTCCCGAGTGGTTTACACTTAACAGAGGCCAAGACGTCAGTGTTTTGCGTGAGAAAACAAGGAAAAGTGAAGAAGAAGCATATGGGGTGATAGTGAATAGCTTTGAAGAGTTCGAAGAAGAATACGTGAAGGAGTATAGAAGAGTCACAGGCAGAAAGGTTTGGTGTGTTGGTCCAGTCTCACTCTCAAACAAGGACGACTTGGATAAGACTCAAAGAGGCAAACCGGACTCAAACGAAAAAGAAGAAGAAGAAGAAGGCCAATACTTGAAGTGGCTTGATTCATGGCCTGCAAGATCTGTCATCTATGTCTGCCTTGGAACCTTAAACTTTGTACCACCAGAGCAATTGATGGAGCTAGGTTTGGGACTGGAAGCTACAAAGAGGCCATTCATTTGGGTACTGAGAGACTCATACAAAAGAGAAGAAATGGACAAATTACTGAAGGAAGATGGATTAGAAGAGAGAGTGAAAGGAAGAGGACTCATAATAAGAGGTTGGGTGCCTCAAGTTCTGATACTGTCACACACAGCAATAGGATCATTCTTAACACACTGTGGATGGAACTCAACACTTGAAGGGATCAGTAATGGACTGCCACTAATAACATTTCCTCTATCTTCTGATCAATTTTATAATGAGAAGGTGATTGTTCAGTTGTTGGAGATAGGTGCGAGGGTGGGAGCTGAGATTGCTGTACATCTAGGGGAGGAAGACAAGTATGGGGTTCAGGTGAAGAGGGAGAAAGTGAAGGAGGCAATAGAGAAAGTAATGGGTGAAGAAGATGAGGAAAGTGAAAGGATAAGAGAAAGAGCAAGGAATTATGCGGAGAAGGCAAACAGAACACTGCAGAAAGGCGGATCTTCTTACCTTAACTTGTCACTGCTGATTGAAGACATAATACAATGTATGATGGAATAAAAGAATTAAACTATTTTTGAAGTAGCGAAATCAATCATTTACATTTTATTAGTTTATGTTTCTTTACTTTATTTACCAAGTTATAAGCTATTGTACATCAGAAAATCAGTGTTTATGAATGCAATATTTTGACGTCCATGATATATATTTGTGGATCAGGATTGAAAAGTCTAATGGTAGTTTAGTTTTTTACCTCTATTTGGAAAAGAAAAGAATATAATTTTAATTATTGACTTTACAGTAGAAATTTAATTTTAATTTTGTCTCAGAAACTTATTAAACTGAATTGCAACATTACTTATATTTATTATTATCGTCGTGAAAGTTAAAAATAATTTCACGAACATTCATTTTAATTAATATTTTTTCTAACAAATTTAATTAAGTAGATTAGTCATGCTCAATCAAAAGACTCGTGTTGATGATTTGAAGATGAAGATCCGCGTGTGGCACAGACAGAGACGTGTATGGCCAAATCAAACCAGATCAATGCATGTGCTTTTTACAAATCATGGACTTGGATCTCCACTATCTCACTCTCACCCCACAGCCCACATCATTATCATCGTGTTGGACACTATTTAATTTCCATCGCATCATGTCATTAAGTAGTGTCCGTTCCACAGTTTCTGCCTTTCAAGTCAAATCGCATTATCTCTGGTGCGTCGCCATTGAATATATCTTTGAAACTAATTTGAAATGATTATGAAAAAAAACTATAATTAATAGGGATAATTTAGAGAATGAATTATAAATTTTTAGAAGATAAAGTGAATTGGAATCTTATATTTAGAACCAAATTTAATTTCTAACTATCTTATACTGCTTCCGGTCCTTAATAGAAGAGCTTGTTGACTAATTTGAGTAAATTACAAAAATTAGTTAAATTAGTTATTTATAATAAATACGTGTTGTCTTTTCTAAAAGATTCTTGCTAATCAAATGTATTAGTTAGAACTACTATTATTATAAGGACTAATAATTTGAAAAAAAAAAAGATAAATAACAGAGACAAAGTGAATTAAAATCTTATATTTAATATCAAAGTAAAAATTAGATAAATTCTTATATTAAAAACTGAAGAAAGTATCAAGGATATAAAAATCTCAGCTCTGCCAGTTGTTTGCAATTAACAGAGTCCAAAGACAGGGAGGAGGTGTCTGTTGCCCCACTCTAATGCCCTCTCTGTTGCTGCCCCATCAATTTTTTACCTTTTCCAAATTTTTTTGTTGTTAGATATAAAACGAGTTATATTTTGATATGTCCTGAACAAAAATTTTAATTTTTTAAATAATTTCTTAAAGAAAATATACTCTAAATTAAAAAAAAGAAAGAAAAGAAAACAACACGGATTTAAACATGAAACATTAACTTTTATTCAAAGATAAAGATGAGATGATGAGAAATGAAAGAGAAGGACGAAAATGAGATGATATTCTTCGACAACAAATCTGGAGATCAAGTCCTTTGATATCTCTTCTAACACCGCCGTTGGCAGTCTTGTCTTCGTTTATTGGGATTTCATTGAAGAATCGTACATTTGTTTGCAGGAAAACCAAACCCTCCCATGTTATTATTGGACCCTCTTAGTCTTATCGCGTTAGAAGCTGCAACATCTCTAATTATTTATTTTACATTATAGAAATATAATTTTAAGTGATCTTAAAAAATTTGTCGATCCACTCATGAGAATACTTATACAAGTTATATTTCAATAATTTCATAAATATTTATTATTTTTAATATTTTTCTTTACAATTTCTGTACTAATTTACAATTAAAATCCACTATTTCATCCTACTCGCACTAAATAAATGTTACTCCTCCGGTCCTTAATATAGGACCCAATTAGTGAGTTAGTTTTGGTCCTAAATATAAGACCCATTTCTTATATTTATCAATTTTCTCTAAATTACCCCTATAGATACTCCCTCAATCATAATCAAGTATAGAAGAGGGAGGGGGTATTAAGAGAGATGATTATGATGTTTTAGGAAAAACATGTCACATTTTTTATAATTAACTAACTTACCTAACTTCCTTAATCTAATCAAATTAGTTAAATGGATCTTATATTAAGGATCGGAGGAGTATATTATTATGATTATTTCAATGGACTTTCTCTAATTGTTTCAAAATTAACAGGTGAAAAGTCAATTCAATACAAATAAGCATTGGCGTACGGGATTCCCCCCCCCCCCCAAAAATTAACTTAAATGGGATTTTTTTTTTTTTTTGGTTTTTTTCCTGCGGTCATTTCCACCAAAAGAAAAGATCAAATCTGTCAGCTTTGAATCATGCAATATCTAATCTTTGGACAGAAATCTGAAGAGGTTTCACAAAACCAATATAGCATATCCTCACGTAATTTCATTCATGCTTCAACCGAAAGAAGAAGAAAGAAGAAGAAGTAGAACACATCAGAGCCTGTGTGGTCCGTGCATTGAAAGGCCCTACTCAGAAAAGAAAAAAAGCTTTTTTTTTCTGTGGACGAAAATCAAAACTCATTTTGAAAATGGATATACATCGTACGTACAGAGACATATATGGCCAACCAGCTCATGCGTATCCTTTTTACAAACCTGAAACTTCCATGTCCACCCTCTCTCCCAACATCATCGGATAGAGAACTTGCCTACGTTTACCTCTCAGTCTCAGACTTCTCTGCTTGTTCGGTTCGATCGAACAACGTAAGCTCTTGCGTCATTTCATTTCAGGGACACCGATCCACGACCTCACAACCCTATATGCATGCCCTCTCACAGTACATAACAACACTCGTTGCTCTTTTCTAAGCATCGATCCTTTAACAGATCCCATTATCTGATCTCTCTGTGTTTGCCATGGAATCTTTGCCTTCCATCGTGACGCGTCAGAATGTTGAGCTTCTTCACTTTGTTTTGATACCTTTAATGGCGCCTGGTCATCTTCTTCCCATGGTCGACATGGCTAGATTATTGGCTCGGCGAAACGTGAAGGTGACCTTGGTGACCACACCTCTCAACGCCGTGCGAGTCAAAGCCACCATTGAAAGAGAAAACCAGCACTGTAGCTCATCATCGCCCATCGAGCTTCGACTTTTCCAGTTCCCAAGTGCTGAGGCTGGCGTGCCTGAGGGATGTGAGAGTGTGGACGCTCTGACTTCCATGGACGTGAAGATGAAGTTTTTTAAAGCTCTCTGTAAGCTGCAGCGCCCACTTGAAGAACTCTTTGAAACACTTACTTCTCCTCCTCCCACCTGCATAATATCTGATAGATACGTTCCATCAGTGGCTTCTGTGGCGAAGAAGTTCCAAGTTCCAAGAATCATATTCGATGGAACTAATTGTTTCAACCTATTATGCAGTCACAGCTTGTGCAGTTCCAAGGTTTATGAGAAAGTCTCTGATTCAGAAGCATTCGTTGTCCCCGGCTTGCCTCATAGAATTGTATTAAAAAAACCTCAGCTTCCCAGGACGTTTAACCTAAGAAAACACCAGGAGATCGGTGATTTTATCGATGAGGTAAGGAAAACTGAAAAGGAAGCTTATGGGGTGGTAGTGAACAGTTTCCAAGAGTTGGAAGCCGAGTACATGAAAGAGTATGAAAAAGTGACGAAGCAAAAGATTTGGTGCATTGGTCCAGTCTCATTATGCAACAAGGACAACTTAGAAAAGGCTCAGAGAGGCAAGAACACAGAATCCAATAACGAGAAGCAAAGCCAACAATATTTGAAGTGGCTTGATTCATGGCCTGCAAGATCTGTAATCTATGTCTGCCTCGGAAGCTTAAACTGTGTACCACCAGAGCAACTGATGGAACTAGGTTTGGGACTGGAAGCTTCAAAGAGACCATTCATCTTGGTGCTGAGAGGAGCATACAAGAGAGATGAAATGGAGAAGCTGCTGAAAGAAGATGGATTAGAAGAGAGAGTGAAAGCAAGAGGACTTATAATAAGAGGTTGGGTGCCTCAAGTTCTGATACTGTCACACAAAGCCATAGGATCATTCTTAACACATTGTGGATGGAACTCAACACTTGAAGGGATATGTAGCGGGGTGCCATTGATAACATTTCCTCTGAATGCAGAGCAGTTTTTCAATGAAAAGGTTGCAGTACAGTTGTTGGAGACAGGTGTGAAGGTTGGAGCGGAGACTGCTATAAATTTTGGGGAAGAAGACAAGTACGGGGTTCAGGTGAAGAGGGAAAAAGTGAAGGAGGCAATAGAGAAAGTGATGGATGAAGATGAAGAAAGTGAGAGGATAAGAGAAAGGGCAAGGAATTATGCAGAGAAAGCAAAGAAGGCAATGCAGAAAGGTGGATCTTCTTGGCTTAACATGTCTCTACTAACTGAAGATATAGCACAACATGTCATGGGGTTGAAGTTGAATCAGCCTCAACCAAGTCCAAATGCATAGACGGTGTGAAATAATGTTGTTGTATTGGCTATTGTTTTTGTTTTTGTTTTTACGATCTCCTAAGGAACATGTTTACGTACTATTAGTTCATATCATGGTTCATATTTTACTCAATTTTATTTCAGTGTTTGGTTAGAGAAAACCTCTGGGATTCCAGCTTTAATTTCTAATCTTGAACCCACACGTACGAGAGCCAAATCACTTGCTAGGATTTCTGATTTCACGTGTTCTTCACATGGAAGAAAAATTCAAGTCACTGTGGCTCACCGACACAACACAAACAAGGAGATAACGGCTCCTCTTCATGTCAAACAAAATGGGACATACTACATTTCAGAACCCATATTTCATTTATTTTGCAAATAGGCCCTAATACTCATTATAAGTTGGGGCCATAAACCTAATGAAGTTACATAAACCTAGTGTGTGTGTGAGAGAGAGAGTCGCTTTTTTGCGTACCAAAGGATAGCATAGGTTACACAGCTTTTGGGGTGTGTGTGTGTGTGTAAACTATTATTCAAATAATTAAGGAGAGAAACTGGGACCTCAAGATACATGCGAGGCTAATTCTTTGTGATTGTACTTAAAAGGGTTTTTAATTAAAACATGATAAATTATTTTTTTCAAACAATAATATAACACGTTTATGATTTTCATACAATTGAAAAGTCTTATCATGCTGTTGTCTAGAATCATGCAATCGTTTTCATGAAAACCATACCTAGCTTGTCATATACATCGGACGTCCACAATCTTATCATGTTGTAACAGAAAAGTCTGATGAATTTTTCCCTACCTTAAATTAAGAGAATGCATATCTAACTACTACTACCTCCGATCTTTAATATAAGACCTCGTTTAACTTTTAATTTGGTTCTAAATATAAGACTCTAATCCACTTTGTCTCTTATATTTATGTATTTTTTTTCCAAGGTAGTCCTTCTAATGATGATAGTTTTAGGTAACACATTTGATTAGCAAGGATATTTTAAAAAAAGACAATACATACTTATTACAAATACTAATTTAACTTATTTCCTTAATTTCTTTAAATTAGTTAACTAGCTCTTATAATTAGAACTGGAGGTAGTACCTCCCATTCTTAGTATAATAGCCAGTTGACTAATTTGAATAGAATAAAAAAATTAGTTAAGTTAATTATTTGTAATAAATCGATGTCTTTCTTAAAATACTCTTACTAATTATGTGATTAGCTAAAGTTACCATTTCATAAAATATTTAACATGTGCAACTGTTATAATGACTATTTTGTGAAAAAATAGATAAATATGAGAGAAAAAGTGGATTGAAGTTTTATATTTAGGATCAAATTGAATGTCAAACTAGCTCTTATATTAAAAACGAGGGGTAGTATTTAATTATAATAGGAATTTAATTTCAATTTATGTTAAAATTTTATTAAACTTATTGCAACACTCGTGTTTGTGTGTGTGTGTATCATTACTAAAATGAATTATAACTCTCGGATAGAGTATTAGAACGAAAAACTACTAGATAATGAATTATTGATTCTAAGACATCTCTGGCAATGAATAAGCAATTCAGCATTTAGGAATAGATGTAGAAGGATTTGTTTGGGAAGTAAGAAGCCCCTGACATCTCATGAACAAAAAATCTTCCATTAAATTTTTATCACAAATTAAAATTAACTATTTTAATTGAACCTGCTACTCTCAAATAAATTTGTTATACTTTTTCAATCTTTAATATAAGAGTTAATCATGAAGTTAATGTCGGTCTTATATACAAGACTTATTTCACATGTTTATCAATTTTTTTCAAATTAATCTTATTAATATTCTCCCAATAACAATCAAGTAGGAGAAGGAGGGAGGGAACTAAAAAAGATGCTTGGGGTATTTTAGAAAAAACATATCATATTAACTAATTTAACTAACATTCTTAATTTACTCAAATTAGTTAATTAAGAACCGGAGGAGGAGCCTTTTACCACATTTTATGATGATTTGCATCTTCACATGATGAATTAAGATTTTCTTACACGATGATTTATTATACTTATGAGCATGCATCTAACTTTAATTAATCATTTGACAGGAATCGTAAGTAGTTTCATGAAACCAGAATAAGCTATGCTTACGTTTCTTTATTGATGGTTGAATCAAAAGAGGTAAAGGAAGGACATTGAAATCCACAACTAAGAAAGCTCATTTTAATAATTTTGAAGATGGACATCATCATCGTACAGAGGGTGTGTTTGGATGAAACCAAACCGTGGTTTGAAAAAGTGATTCTGGAGAATAGATTCTGTGGAGAATAAATTCTGTGGAGAATAGATTATGAGAAGTGAGAGTGTTTGGATAGTTATTACCAGAAGCACTTTTTACATGTGGAAATTACCAAAAAGGGTATAAGTTAATATGATAATTATATAAGGGATAGATTTTATGATATATTTTGATTTGAAGAAATAAAATTGTTAATGCAAAATTTTTTACTAACATAATTAATAATATATAAGATAATATAATTAATACATAATTAATATGTGTACATGTATTTATAAAACATAATATTAAATATGTTTATAGAAAAATGATTTTTTTAATAACAGAAAAATATTAATTTTCTGTAAAGATTTTAAACGTGAAATCCTATAACATTTTTTCACAACTACTTTTTGTCATAACATACTACATGTATAATAACCTCTGATGTTTAATACAATTAATTAATTAATTGTCACCACACATATATATTCATAAAATATAAGAGTGAAAATATTTTTAGAGAAGATGAATTATTTTGTTGCAAACAGAAAGTCATGTATTTTTCATGAAGATTATAAACATAAAATGGGATGATATTGTTTGATAAAATAGAATAAACACGTCTTAAAACAATTTATTAATTATTAAAGTAAGCAATAATTAGCTTGAGAATATAAGGTATAATATTAATAAAAGAAATATAAATAAAGAAGTTTCATAATCATTAAGATGATGCATCGATACAAAGCATTTGTAATAGGTTTTGTTTTTAACTACATATTACAATCTATGATAGAAGGAAATAAATAAGACATGACTACTATCCTCGTATTGAATTAACAAGTTCGTCTCTTATGCTATCACGAACCTGAGCCATGTAAGATGAAGATTGAATTGATGAATGTACACGTGAAAATCCAACCCCATCATCATCATCTCTTACATAAGTACCTTCTTCTTCCAACTGAACGAATCCAGGATCAGTAATAGATGTCGTTCTAATAAAATTATGTATAGCCATCGTTGCACAAACGATTTTAACTTATGTTTCATAATCATAGGATGGCATGCTTTGTAAGATTGCGAACTTTTTTTTCCAAACTCCGAAAGTTCTTTCAATTGTACTCCTTAAACTTGAATGGAAATAATTAAAGATCTCATTGTCATTTTCAAACCCAGATGTCCTTCGAAAATCAGGCAGATGGTAACGCTCCCGTCTGTATGGGCCGAGATATCCATTCGGTGTTGGGTATCCAGCATCCACCAAATAATATTTTCCTATATAAAAAATGAAATTATTGTAAATTATGTTTCTATTGTTAAACTAAATATAACAAAAATTTAGGAAATAAAAAAATACCTTCAGGTGGATGGGGAAAGTTCGTTGAAGGAGTTGTGAGGGCATGATCAAATATCCGAGCATCATGTGCGCTACCTTCCCATCCGGCCAAGACAAAAGTAAAACACATGTCCCAATCACAAACCGTCATGACATTTTGTGACACTGTTCCTTTCCTAGAGATAAATTTAGTTTGATCTGTTGAACTGACAATGCATGAAATATGTGTGCCATCAATTGCTCCAATAGCATGTTTAAAAAAAGGCCAGTATTTACCAAACCGAATTTTTGTATGAACATGCCGGAATGTTGGATCTTTTGGTTTGATATTAGACATGGCAAGTCTACAGCATGCCATTAGGACATTATGAACATGTCTGCTAATTGTCTCCCTTGAATGTTGAAATCTTTCTTGTTGCATTCTGCTACTAAGTGCATGGCCAACGGTATGTAAAAACATTGCAACTGATTCATGTAACCCTATATTTTTAGTTTCTTTTAGACTATGTTGTTGCAATTGTTCCACCAGACTTAAGAACACATCCCGTTCCATCCTAAACATGTTATAGCAACGACTGGGATTGCCATGTAAAACATCCCTTACCCATAAGCAACCTGTATAAGCACTTGTATGCCGAGGCTTCTTACACAAGTTCAAAGTAGCGTATGCACCAACCAATGCTGCAACTTTGTTAACCCTTTTTTTTCGTCCCTTAGCATGCTCTTCCACATGTTTAATTTCATCATCCATATTCATTTTATCCTGTGCACATACACATAAAGTTTAGAATTCCTACGTAGAAATTACAAAACATTTATAAAAGTAACAGAGTTGTCTGATTCATATAACAATCCACTAGTCACATAAAACGATACACATATGAAACTGTCTAATATAATAAACAAGTCATAAATCTAGTGTAAAACTCCAAAATAGGCAGAAGTTGTTCCTTCTGATCCTTCAGAGTTGCATACATTTCCCTTGCCTCCGGCAGTTCCATAAGGAGTTGTGTGCACCGTCTAAAGAAATCAGGATCACTGACAACTTCAGGAACTATTTTGAGGTGAGACAGGACTCCCCTAATTGAAATCTCATAAGCACGCGCTTCTTCTGCCAACCTTCTAGCTTCTTCTTCCAACCTTCTAGCTTCTACTTGTGAAATGACCTCATTGCAACGCTCAGCCTCAGAAATATTTGTTTCAGCAATCTTGCTAAGTGCATCCGCTATTTTCATAGAGGGAGATGTGCGTTTCTTCATGACTTCACTCTTCCTTCTGACCCCCAGTGAACTACTAGGTCGACTCCCACCTCTGCTCGTACCCCCACCACTGTTATCCTGCCTCAATTCAGTGTTGCCCCCACTACCTCCACTATTGTTATTGAAGTTCACTGAGTTAAATTCTCCACT